TTTGCATGATGAGTTTGATGCTTTCCTTCTTTTCCCCCTAGGCCTTTTTAAAAATGGAATCTTTTTTTAGCTGCAAATATTATCCCTTTGTTTCATGTTTGCTGGTTTGGTTTTAAACTTTATGAGTGTGTATGATTGTGGGCTTATAGGAGGCTATGGATAGGTACTCTTTTAGATGCTTCATTGTTTTGGGAAGTATTATAACTTATAAGGTGGTTGATCTTGTGATTAGTATAGGAATGCAAGTTGGTGAATGGTGACTATTCGGTTTATGTCATTTATTTTTCTTTTGCTACTAACCCTTGCTATCCAAAAGTCACATTGACCCCTACTAATTCAAAGTTTGGCTTGTGTCAGACCCCATAAAGGGGAAGCTTTCGCAGCCAACGCCTATCTCTTCATTTACAAAATTCAAACTTGAGACTTTATTTAAGAGGAATCAAGCACCTTCCATTTAGACCAACAGGTCATTGGTATTTGGTTTATGTTAGGGCATCATGTACAGCCAAGTGTATAAAAGGTCTACTAAATTGTTCATTAGGTTGCTTTAAGAGTGCAACGTTTCATTTTATTATGTTTTTCTATGGATGGAAAGATTCAGGCTTGGTTTTTTGAATTTGACGTATTCTCATATCTTTAAATTTTTGCTTGAAAAGGTAAAATAATTAACAGAGGAGAGGGTATCATGGAGAGAACTTAGAACTTATATCTTACTAATAGTGGATGACTTTGTATCTGGTTTGATACATTTATGTGTCAATTTGCTCAAACTATTCAATTTATAGAGTTGATTAGATGAAGTCTTATGATGAACACTAAATGTAGGAAAGCATGTGAAACTAATCACATGCTCTTAAATTTCCGCATTTGATGTTGGTAAGTTGATGGAGGAATACTTTGAAGGCCAATTTTCCTACTTTTATCAAGAATCTTTATGGCAGATATTGTCTTATAGCTAACTGAGACCCTACTTAAAAGTCTCAAACTCTCATTAGGTGTTTACAGAATCTGACACACCTTGCAACTTGGCTTGGATTGATCCTCAGTCATTGGCATGTTGAACTGCTTGTTTGCTGGCACTTAAATTCTATATGTTTGAGGTAGTAGTGCACTTTATAACTTTTGGGTTGCGGGTAGAACTGAAAAAGATCAACCTCTCCATTTCATAATTGTTGTTATTATTCAATTTCTTCTTTCGTCTTTTTGGGTACAAATAAGTTTTACTAACATATATTGAAGAAGATTAACTTCTGATTTAGATTATTTACTTACAATTAAAGGGGATGGAAAGTACTCTTTTAGATCTAATATTGCCTTTTTCCCCTCACGTATGTTTGTTATCTTCTAACTGCATGTAATAGTTGTCTCATTTGTGAAGCTTAACATTTAAAACTCTTTTTCTTTCAATTTTCTATCAATTTCCTTGCAGGCCATTGTGTTGGGTTGAGCACATGTCACTAGACAATGAAACTGGGCTTGACCCTTCCGGTGTAAGGGTCAGGCCTGTATCTGGACTTGTAACAGCTGATTACTTTGCACCGGCTTATTTTTTCTAGGTTGTCTTAATTGCTAATTAGGCTCGGATCGGGTACGAGGAGAAAACAATGTATATGGCTGCATATGATTGGAGATGATCTTTTCAGAACACAGAGGTAGAATTTAGTTTCGCTACTTCACTTCCCTTGGAGTAAATTCAGCACACTATGTTATTATTCATATATCACATGTTTCTCTTTATTTTTTTCTTCATTTCAATTTTCTGCTTTACAATGGAAAGTATAGTATTTTTTCTTCAAATTATCATCAAACTTTCTGCCTAACATAATTGTTCAGTTGAGGGACCAAACTCTGAGCAGGATAAGAAGCAACATATAACTCATGGTAGCCACAAATGGTGGTAGAAAGGTGGTTGTTATTCCACACTCAATGGGTGTCCTGTACTTTCTGCACTTAATGAAATGCGTTGAGGCACCGGCTCCAATGGGTGGTGGGGGTGGATCAAATTGGTGTACTAATCATATAAAGGCAGTAATGAACATTGGTGGGCCATAGGATTGTTTTCTGTTGAAGCAAGAGACATTGCCATTGCCAGGTATCTCTTTGAAACAATTATATGGGCTTTGTTATCTTTTTCTGAAACTTCTTGATCCTAATGCGATCTATGCTGATTATTGTTATGAAATTTCTGATGCTGTTGGTCAAACCTATGCTTTCCCACTTTTAGGGAATCAAACACTCCTCTCTTTTGAGGGCAATAATTCAATACAATTTGGTTTTTGTGGTTAGATATGATGCACTGTTGCTGTATTAGTATCTTGACTCTTGAGTGCTGATTCTCAGGATTTATTTGTTTTAATCTACTTTATTCTCTTCTTTTGTCAAATGTATTACTTTTACAAGGTGCCGGTTTTACAGAAATTCATAATTTTAGTTTTATCTGGTTTTTTTAAATGATTTCAATTATGAAAGCAGATTCATTCTGTTAATCCGCTGGAATTATGAAAATTAATGTTGTCGTGTGTTCTAAAAATCATTTGGTCTTGACTAATTTGATATTTCTTGCTTGTAAATGTCATTGTCAGGAACTATTTAAGTTGAAAGCTTAAGTTCATATTTAATAAGTAGGTCCAGAATTAGAAGACTAGAATAATTTATCTCTAACAATCACGGAACTTACCCTTCTTTCATGTTAGGATTGCTGTTACCTTTCTTTTTTTTTTTTTGGATAGCATGGGTATCTGGACCTTTGGCCCAACTAATCCCACAGATACCTATAAACTGCCCCATCCATAGGCTTTAGGTAAAGCTTCACCTTCAAGGATGACAGGTATGGTCCATTGAAATTGTTTGCACCCAAATAGCAATAGAGAGACTCGAGCCTATGTTCTTGGGCATAATTCTCGTCCATCCTTACCACTTGAGCGAACCCAATAGGTTTTGCTTGTCACTTTTTGTTTCTAAAAACTCTGTTGACATTATCTTTCATAATTGTTTAGTCTCTCCTAAGCCGTGCATTTTTACTGCCATCCGTATTTTACACCTCCAACAATATCTCATGTTTGACTAACTCAATGAATCTAAGGTAGTTGGTCATTCATAGCCTGCCTTTGGATTTCTAAATTTGCTTGGACCTGATGAGAAACGAATCCTTAAACAGGTCCCTTGCAGCAGCTGTTTTGGATAAAGATGTATTTGGGTTCCAAACTCTACTACATATAATGCAGATGACTCGTACCTGGGATTCAACCATGTCAATGATACCAAAAGGTGGGGAATCAATCTGGGGTGGTCTTGATTGGTCACCTGAAGGAGGCTTTAACTCTGCTGGAAAAAAATTGGAGAACAATTATACCTACAATCAAAATGCAGATGAGAGTTTTGCTAACACAAAGAATGTGAATTATGGGAGGATTATCTCATTTGGGAAAGATGTCGCTGAATTACATTCTTGCAAGTTTGAAAGGGTTAATTTCAGGGTAATGTCCAAGTTAGAATTTAGCTATTTCCATATAAACAGTTTGTAAGATCTATGTGTATAATATGTTTATGTAAATGGGTGCATATATGTATGTATGTAATTATGAGTAACAGAGCAAGGAAATTTGGTAATTTTACTGGATAGAATGCATGATAGATCTAATTTGAGTTGTTTCTGCTTGCTATGAGATTATTGGTTGCTCCATTTTGTAGCTTCGACTTGGATGTAGTCATGTAATTGTTTATTATCAGCGGGGTGCTGTGAAAGGAAATGATGTTGCAAACACCAACCGCTCTGATGTGTGGACAGAATACCATAAAATGGGCTTTGGGGGTATAAGAGCTGTTGCTGATAACAAAGTTTACGCTGCTGAATCAATTCTAGATCTGCTTCTTTTTGTCGTCCCCAAGTTGATGGCAAAGGGAGGTGCCCATTTTTCACGTAGAATAGCTGATAATTTGGATGAGCCAAAGTATGAACACTACAAATATTGGTCAAACCCCTTAGAAACAAAGTAAGATTCTTTTCCCAGTAAGACCATGTGTTGCGTTGAAATCAATGTGATTTCCTTTGATTCATTAAAATTTTATGAACCAGTTCATTAAACTTTATATGCTAAGATTGTCAAAATGGTTTGCCTTTCCACTCCCTTCCCTCCGCACCTTGACAAATAACTTATCATTTTGTGTCTGCAGTTTACCAAACGCTCCAGACATGGAAATATATTCAATGTATGGAATCGGAATCCCTACAGAAAGAGCATATGTCTACAAATTAACTCCTGCTGCTGAGTGCTATATTCCCTTTCAGATAGACACCTCAGCAGAAGGAGGAAGCGAGCATTCTTGTCTAAAAGGTGGAGTCTTCTCTACTGATGGAGATGAAACAGTTCCTTTGTTAAAGTGCAGGTTTCATGGGTGCAAAAGGATGGCGAGGAAAAACCAGATTCAACCCTTCAGGC